AGTGAGTGAGTGAGTGAGAGTGAGAGTGTGTGTGTGAGCGAGAGTGAGAGAGACGGGTAAAGTGGGAGGGAGGGAGGAAGGTACTCGGTAAAACAGAGATGAGTCTCCCATGGGAAATGACAAACACCGATGATTTTTGAGACTTAACAGGATGTCGATCATGGGATGCCAATTGTTTAGGCTCATTTATGTATTCTTTAATGAGGTAATCCTTTTAATACCTCAATTTTATGTGCTAATATGTAAGTCTTCTATATCGATTTTCTCAATATAAATATAAGACTTAATTTTATTTAAATATACGTTTAGTTGTACAAAAGATGTGAATGATATTTGAATTCTTGTTTTATAAAGCAATACTAAAATATCTAGAAAAAATCTAGGATTTGCGAGTTAAATTATGTTTAATAAATTATTAGCAGATCGTTTACTTACAAATGATTGAAAATTCAATATTCGATAAAAAGATGATTATTAAGAATAAGTGCTACAGTAATGATCAACATAAAACGTATAGACATGGTAAACATTTATACTGTTGATTCATAATGAATTAATACCAAGCAAATTTAGATATTTAAATCTACCATCCCTTATACGGAAATTTAATTGATGATAGGAGTCGCTGAAATTTATTATGCAATTATTCAATAATAAAATCATATAAAAATGGTTACTTATTCTTACCTATTTTAGAACAATTTATGAAATATTAAGGTGTGTCAACATTGCCAGGAGAGTTATACAGTTTGGTAGATCTTTCTCAGAACTCAAAAGATTCTACGAAGGACGTATTTCACTTAGATAAAAATGAAGTCTTATTTCTATTTACAACGATACTGCTCGACCACTGAATCAAACTTTTAAGTTTTAATATTGAAATGAGAAAAACTGTTACAAATTATTGTAAAACGAATTTACAATTTTTAAAAGCTGATCATAGTTAAGTATTTAGATCAACAATGTAAACGGAACAATGAACGGAGTGATTGTCATTATGTGAGCGTATAGATAGATACGCGTTTCATTATTATGAAAAAAAAAGCATGTGGATTTTTGTACTACTATAATGATAATAATTGTGTTTAATACAAATGAAATTTAACCGATAAGCATAGCACATAAATTTATTGCATTTAATTACAATCTATTAATTTTATATCAATGTAATTAGTTATAACAATGTTTAATTTCTGGTCTTTTATTGATAATTTTTACTTCTTATTTTTTTCTTCTTTTTTTTTAATCATAATTTATGAAAACGACTATGTTCGAAGTAACGCATACTTTCTAAATAATAAACGAATTAGAGAAAATTATTACATTTCCTACGCTATAACGAGAACTTAATGTATACAATGACTCTTATCATTGAAAATAACAAACAATACACAATCAATAAATCCGAATACTTTTTATTTAATGTAAATTATATGTATTTAATGTACTATGTAAGTGTTACGCTTAAAAATTAGGGAAATTAAAAAGGATGTATTTTTGTATTTTCCCAGTACTGTAATAGTCAGGTATCTACGTTACGGTTTCGGTATTGTATCATAATATCATTATATGTAGGCGACGACAGGTCTGCGCTGTTTCCCTCTTGTTTTCGATTTTTCCCTCGCTTTCTATGCCATGTTTCTACAAGTCGAGAGCCACACTTAGGCCCTCGAACTTTAGGAGTCACTTGTAAGAGTGAAAATATAGAATTCGACCGCATATAAAATATGCCCGAATTTAGTAGTTTAATGATAAGTTATTTAAAGATTTTCCAACCTAACCGATATACGATAACTGTAAGCTTATATGCGTATATGAAACATTAAAAAAATTATTTATCACGTATTTTTAGAGAGTAATTTCGAAGATACGTAGGCCAATGAGATAATAAATTTATAAATGCAAATACGGTAAGGAAAACAACTTGTAATGCAAAAGAGCGGCTTTTAAGGGCTAACAAGGCATGGTAATCTGCAACAATAAAAGCCTATAAATGTTACTTCTTCAAGTGCTTTTATTCATTTCCGCGAAGCGAGCAACGTTGCACGAAGAAATAGTTGTAACTTCCCTTAAGAACAGGAGGAGCTTAATGTCGACCTTTGCCTTTGATTTACACGGTAATTACGGCTTACGCACACCTGAGGCTTGCCAATAAGTAATTCCTAACATCTACTTTGCACATTTTTCTATTCTTTTATATTTAATTTTATACCTTTTAACCTTACGCGTGTACAATTTTTTTACGAATGTTTATACGAAGTCTCTCTCCCTCTCTCTCTCTCTCTCTCTCTCTCATCGTGTAGGTGTGTGCGCGCGCGCGCGCGCGCGCGTGTGTGTTTTGTACTGCCTTTACGTTATACCGAATGTACTAGATCGGATGTGTCGACGGAAAGTAAAATTTATCGAATATTTATGATTAAAGCACGTCACGAATACATTTATATAAAGAAATATTCGATTTCTAACCACTTATATGCATTTTCAATACGCTTATATGAAATTTTCGTTACTTAATTGCGAGTTTTTCAAAATCATTTGTATCGATACTATAGTTTAATAGAAAAATAAATAGTTAAATAGAAAGAAATTTCGTTTGATTTAAAGGAAAGTATATTAATTAAGGTGATTATAGATCCAAGTGTCGCCAATACGAATACACCATTTAACATAATACAATAATATAACACGTGACAATACATCCACTAAAATAGTATAATTTTTTCATTACGTTTTCTATTACAAATCTCTGTATTAACGACAAGCTTTTTAATTTACACATCATTAGAAAATTAGAAAAACCGGTTTTACTTATGTTACATTTACCACTCGTTTTGCTTAACATATGGATAATAGAAAAGTAAATAGGAGTAAATGTTTCTCCATTTATTTGATGAAATAAAAATTTCTTTCAGAATCCTGACTGGAATGAATGTGTTAACTATAATTTATATGGTCGCGCAGTTACAAGAAGTTTAATGCAAAATTGTCGAATATATTATTTAAGAATTTTTTTTTTAACGAACGTAGCCTGATCGAGATCGAGCTCATTGTGATAATTTAAGCGAATTAAAGTAGAAAATAATTTTCGAAAGGCTGGTAAGGAGACAGGCTCGTGGTTATATTATAACAATATATATCTTTACCTATCAATACATCATTTATCAAAGTAAGAATTTCCGTTTACTTCACTGCGCGTCTCTTTTGCGTCTCTTTTCCTTGCACGGACAAGAGCGACGACGCGGTGAAACGTGGACCTCAAGCCTCCACACTGGTGGCATTCAGGAATAGATTTCAGCGACGATCGAACGGCACATGCGACGCACGAGAAAGAGAGAATATCGAGAGAGACGTGGTAAACGAGTTGCATACACGTCATCGTCGAAAATAATCGTTGGCCGCTCAAGAGTAATAAAGATCCGGGTACTCGGTGGAAGAGGCATCAGCTGATTTATTAGCGCTTTTTCCTCCGCTCACGTTAGTTTTCGCCACGTTGCCGATTGACGAAAAGCGCCCGAGTGCTTTCTGAAAATTCCATATGGTGAATTTCATCGCGCACCTCGGAAACGCACGTCTCGAGAAATTTACAATATGCAAATTCTTGGCGAGAGCGGGAGGGAGGGAGGAGGGGGGTGAGGGGGGGGGGTGGGGGAGGATAAGAATAAAGATAAGGATGACGATGACGATGACGATGACGATGACGATGACGATGACGATGACGATGACGATGAATGCAGTTCAGCATTGGTAGTTATACATGCTTCAAGAAAGTTAATCCAGGCGCTGCGTATTACAAATTCCCCAAAAAGGAAAAAAATAAAGAAAGATAAATGAATCAGAAGGAATGGAGACAGAGGGACGAGCGAAAATAAGAGAAAACGTAGCGCCGACAAAATTCATTTACACGCGTCGCCGTCGACGCGCGAGGCACGAAAAATTACGAGGTTGCACAAAGACGAGGTAAACATGCATCGCATCGCGGTTGCGGCGACGGCGACGGCGACGGCGACGGCAACGATGGCTCCGACAACAACTCGAATGGCAAAATTATCGCTCGAGAGAAAATATGTGAATACTTCGGTCGTAATTTTCAGTGAGTTACTTTTGCAATTTTTATAAAGTTGTTCGTATATACGCGCGCGCCCGCGAGTATGCGTGCGGATATGGGCGCGCGTGCCCGCGTGCGTGTGCGCACATTCAATTGACTCTGCGACTTTCACAAAATGTTTTTACGACTCTCCTTCCCGTCTTTTTTCCTCTTTCTCTTTATTCGTTTACAAATGCTTGCAGCGGTACGTGTAGCGCTTACAAAAAGACGCGCGGTAAATTTTATCTCCTAATGGACACGTATAAATTGTCTAAAAAAAAAAAGAAGAGAGTAAAAAACAGCCGATGGCCATTAAAAGTTTTATGTCCACGAAAAATGTAATGATGGCTTAGCGGTTTTATTCATTTTCCTCCTTATTTTCAGCAGCGCGTACCTCGCTACCATAAAGGGTGGCAATAATGACCAAGACCGTGTCATTCCATTGTCCGAAAGGTCCGGCGAAATGACACAAGATCACGCGCGTTACGGTGACTCGCAAGGAGTCGTCAACGAAGGTTGGTGATGTACAGTTTATGGGATATAATAAATACGTGGTTGTGCTAACGCGTGGTGAGCCGACGTTGCCGACATTGGTACCAGTCGACGCTCGACGATGCGCAATCGGTTGGTACCGGTAAAGCGCGAAGTACCGCGACGTTGTGCCAAGATTCGCCAGCTGATTGGTACCTTGTTCGATCGTCTCGGATACCGACGACTTTCCCCGTATTCCTGACTTTTCCACATAGCACCTGCGACAGATCTCTCTCTCTCTCTCTCTCTATCTCTCTATCTTTAACTCTCTCGCTCTGTGGTACATGCATAGTAGTACATATAAGTGAATGCTCTCTCTCTCTCTCTCTCTCTCTCTCTCTCTCTTACTCGGATTAAGTTCTCAAGAGCTCGGTTGCTGGCTCACCTTGTTAGCCGTAAATCCGGAGCTTAAGCAGCCACGGCATCTCTCGAGCTTCGGCCGGTTGCGGCAGTCCATCCACTGGTTCCTCGCGTCCCGCGCCGATCGGTTATTGGATACACACCGGTCAGCGAGCGAAAAGTCAGCGCGAGCGCGTCCAGAGTCCGGGGCGCGACGGCGAGGATCCCGTCGGCGTGCGTCGGAGCGCCTTCCCCATCCGTCAGGCAGGGGCACGCGGCTCGCACCAGCGGCACCACCACCACCACCAGCACCACCAACAACAACAGAACAGCTGGATCACACGACCGTCGCACTCGCGTCTGTCTTTCTCTCTCTTTCTCCCGCGCTCTCGCCCTCGCCCGCGCCTCTCGCTCGCTCCTCACCTCTCTCTCTCTCTCTCTCTCTCTCTCTCTCTCTCTCTTTTTTCCCGCCTTTGCTCTCTTTGGCCCTCTTTTTCTCTCGCTATCTCTTTTCTCTATCTCTCTCTCGTTCGCTCTCTCTCTCTCTCTCTCTCTCTCTCTCTCTCTCTCTGTACCTACCTACTTCTATCCCACGCGCTGTCTTTACCCCTTGCCGGGCGTATACGCGACCCAAGCCCCCACGAGGATCCGTCAACGTGTATGCAACTTGCGCACTTACGAGGAAGGACGCGCACAGGCGGTTACCAGCGCTGGCGGCTGCTGCTGATGCTGCTCAACCCGAGCACCGCTGCTGCTACCGTCTCACCGCTGCGACGCTGCTCTCGTCCGTGGACTCGGGCGATTACTGACGGGACTGCCAACCAGCCAACCAGTCCACTCTCCTCGGCCAAGATGCCGAGAGCGGCGCTGCGCGCTCGAGGCCGCCGCCGTCGTCGTCGGCGCACTCGCCGTGGAAAAGGGGGAGCCGATGCCCGCGCCTACGCAGGTATATATCGGCACTGCCTGCCTGGCCGAGCCCTGCCGTCTGAGCCGTCTGCTACCGGGGGAGCGAGAGAGAGAAAGAGAGAACGAGCTGGATGGCGCATCGGGCACCAGGGACGCAGAGCGAGTACGGGGGCCCCGAGGACCAAAGTGAGCTGGTCCGGTACCGGTACGTAGATGTCGGCGAACTCCCGAGCCAGCGCCGGGGGATAACTAGCCTCCGACTTTCCGACCAAGCCTTTTCTCATTAGCGGCTCGACTCCCTCCGTGACTCTGGATTACATGCTCGATCGAGGTCATTATTGCGCGGCTGGTGTCAACTCCAACCTCGAGTAAATCGTCACTTGTTGCGGAAATTATTGACGGTAGGGATGGAAGATGGGCCGTCGTTAGCTGAGCCGGACGCACACATTCACCGACACTCGTTCACGTTCATGCTATAACAATGTGTACGTTGCTTTGAAATATTATTTATCGACAGGAGTGGTAACATGGATAGCCACTGCACGGGTTCCTAAGCTAACAAGTCTTCGTAGGCATTGTTGACGTTCATCTGACATTACTTTATCAATAAATAATAAACATAATAAAGGTCTGCGGAAGATAGAAAATTTTCTTTTTTCTTGTTTGTCTTTACATTCACAGGTAACTGTGGACATTTGGTCTTTCTTTACGAGACATTTATTCGTAATTAATCGACTTAAATATAATCACTTATACATTTTCTAAGAATTTTGCGCAAAACGCCTCCTAAAATAAGGCGAAAATTTTTAATTCAATTTAATTTCCTTTTAATTAATTAATTAATTTTCATGAAATGAATAAATTCTATTTAAACCTTCTATTTAATATCTTATAAATGATTTGAATTCCAATATTTGAGAATCATCCTACTTATTAGATGTTATTAATACCTTATCCAATTACAATTATAATACGTAGTGAAAAATTTAATTATAAATCTAATGAGATTGGTTAAAACTTTTTATAGCGTCGAAGATTTTCATCCAAAATCTTTAATAATTTGTTAAGTATTCGGAAATTATATTAGATAATTAATTGCCGAGTTGGGTCATATCCTTCAATTAATATATGCACTATAATAAGCGAGAAATTAAAATTTCCTTATTTAAATAACATTCGAGCGATAACAAATACGTATTCTATATTTTCCTTACTACATTAGTAATATATACTTTTGTTATTACAAAACTATACTTTTTAATATACTAGTATATTCTTGATAATTATTGAGAATGATAATAATATATTATTATCGATATGTTATATTTGTATTTGTTGAGAATGATTTGTTTGAGAAAATAATAAGTATGGATTTTCAGTACACCTGTAATAAAATGAATATCTAAGAAAGTTTGTACACAAGAATCATAACGATCATAGCGATTATCGACGTATGGATTATCAATATTTTCAAATATGATGTGAAATAAATCTTGCTAATCAGTAGGTTAGTATGCACTTATTGATTTACACTCCGAAAAATATAACCTACCAAGTACTATAGATGCCTATAAATCAAATAAAATTTGAAAAGTTCTCTCAGCGAATTAAAAAATTTCAATATAAGTACTTATAAATCTATCTATCATAATAATTATTCCTAAACAGCTAGTGAAATTTTGAATTAGGCACATTATGTTGTATCTTACATTTTAATGTCTATTAATCATTTTCTACAGTTTTGCGAATGGAATTTGAGTGGCAAGCTTAGATGTGTTTTACCATAAACATAAGATTCCTTAGATAAATTAAAAACTTTATATTAAATGAAATGCAATTTAATTGTAATGAATAATGAATAATTAGCATTCGATTAACTCTGCAGTAAGCAAAGTTTTTCTAAATATTAAATTATTTGCAATTAATGCATAAATTAAAAACTTAACATTAGATAAACGAACGTTCCTTAATTTTAATTAAGAGCCAAAAACACAATAATAATCAACTTTAATAATATGCTTAATTAATTGTACTCAAATACTGTTCCTATCACACTTTTTTGATAAAAGCGCGCGAGTTTCATATATTGTCTGTAAATAAGATAAATTTAGTAATAAATCTAAAAAAATTCCTTTGAAATATCTTCTCTCTCTCTCTCTCTCTCTCTCTCTCTTTATATTTGTTGATAAATAATATTTTAATTAAAAAGAGGCACTTCTATAATCCATCGCTCTTTAAGAGAAAATTAAAATTTCTGAGTATACATTAAGTTTATATATTTATAGCTAAAAGGATTAATAAATGAAAATAAAGTAAAAAAAAAAACTGTATTTTTATTAATTTTACCAAATTTTTAATATTTAGAATAAAACCAATTTATAAAAAATTTATAAATTTATAATACTATTTGTAATTTGTTACTGTAAATATATTATCTTTACCATTGAATTTAAAAGGTGAAAAGTAATATTATAAGTAAATGTTCATGAATTATATCAATTATGACATGAGCGTAATCAATGAAAATTATAGATAATGTTGTTAGTTATAAAATATTTAGAAAATAATTATCGAAATAGGCTACACTTGAAATTGCATTAGTTTGAGTACGCCGGTGTCGTAATTGTGTTGTCTAATTAATTTGATGAATTACTTTAGAAATTAATAATTTTAATTCTTACAATAAGAATTACATATAAAATATGTATAATCGCAATTTATGTTGAATAAATTATCAAAATTAATTTGTCCAAGATATAAATACATAAAGATAAAAGCATGAACAAATAAATATTAAAAAATATTACTTTACACTAATTTTCTACTAACTAATGATCATATGCTTAATAATAATAAATATGTACTGTATTATTATTATTATAATGGACGCGCACACACGCGCGCGAATGATACAATAAGTCTTATCTCTATGTTACAAAGTTTGGAGACGGCAAATTATGATATTAATATTATAAAACTTAATCGCTAAAAGAAGTAAAAAAAAATAACAAAAAAAAAACAAAAAAAAAAAACAAAAACAAAAAAAAACAATTGACGATTAAAATAGTAAAATAATTACAATACATGTGCCATTAAGTAATTACTAAGAAAATGATTTGTGTATTTATTTGAGTGTATAATTAATTATTAATTATTGTTACTGGTAAACTGTGACCGCCGCGTTGCTTCTTAATCCAAGAAAACACACGAATTAAGTACACGTTCATACATGTAAGTGCATGTATACGCTGCAAGATCCATCTGTAGGTTTCGTACATGTCGTAATTTAGATTGGCACACTGCATTTTAAGTTGATTTAAAAGTGCGCATATAAGTGGAATGTTTTTTAAGTTAAGCTAAGAACATACGCGCATTGAATAAATGCATATTGGTATAATGCACATGCACGACATTTACTTAGTTAATGCTTTAGTGCACATCATTTATGACATACGATACACTTAATAAATTACTCGATGACACGACTAGACTTAGTATGCCTACGTATGTGTTAATTATGCTGTGTGTTGCTCAACTTGATCACAACCGCAATATGGAAGCTGGGTAAGATCAATGAAAGGGCTTAAAGTGTACAATATAAGAAAGTTAACTTGAGGATTAAATGAATTATATACAAGTCAGCAATGCAGGCTTGCGGATATGCGTGCAGTGAAATGTCGAGGCTCTATATTTTGTCAAAGGAAGCAAGATATTAGGCTTACCACCCACCATCAGTGATCCTTCCTTGATTATCGCTAACATACTATTATATAGACGCGAGTTGTGTAATTTGCAACAACCCTAATAACTAAAGTTATAAGAAGCTTATAATTATGTTAGTAATTTTCCTTATATATACGTGGCGAAATGGGTAAAAGTAAACTTGCGCATGATCATATGATCTAGGCGGCTTATTGAAATTCTATGTGATAATTCGAATTAATAAGGTATTAATGAGTATCGACCTTATATTTATTCGATAGATGAATATTTGAAGTAGGAGAATGAGATTTTCATCCAATGATTTATATAATGATTTATGTAATATCGATCGATACGTCGGGATATACATTGACTGCTTATACTAATTGACAGTGTGTAAAAAGAGCATGAAAATTTTATTATTAATTGATAATTATTTAAATTCTTAGTCCGTGGCGAAGTCAGAAATTTATGAAATTTATGAAATTTATGAAATTTATGAAATTTATGAAATTTATGTTATAGTTCGGCTTTTCATCTTTCCCTTGTACCACGAAAGATATAATATTTTTGCACTAATCTTCGTTATGACCATTGTTAAGGCTAAGTTTACAATTGTTATTTCCTATGGTAATATTAACGATTAACGATCAATGTCAACAGAAGCAATCATACAAAACACCTCGATACAACAGTTATTCTGCATATCGCCAGTGAAGATAAAAGAAAAAAGAAAAAAGAAAATGAAAGGATGAATAAATGATTCAAATGTAGTTGCTGAGTATGTAATTTGCGGTCAGTGTTTCA